TAACATTTTTACTATTTAGAGTGTTGGCAGTTCATCTTAATGTTTAAGTTGTGTTCTTTATAAGACAATCATATTGTAGAAAATCGGGAAAATGGGGAAAAAAGAACCTACAATTTTACATCTGTGTTACCATCACAACTAACATAATTTAAAATTTCCTTTTATGTGGTTTTCAAAGTGTGCTGCATTCTTACCTGGCCTCAATATATCTAGAGATCAAACTATTTCCTCTGATTTTAAAACTTTTATCTAAATCTCTGGACTGTAAAATTATGTGATTCAATATGGAAGCCAGTAATAATAATAATAAAAAACCTGTCGAATAACTACGCTCTGCTTGTCTAACACACTCTGTTAAATGAGGAATCTCTGTGCTAGTTCAGTCGACATTTGAGATTATTTTTCTTAGACCCAAGCTCTCATTTTGCCTCAATTAAATGACCAGTTTGGGATTTTAACCCACCAAGAAAAATGGAAAGAATTTTGAGAACTGTCAGAGTAATAAAACCTCATTAATTCTGTGTGTGCTCCGTCCAAATAATTATGATTCTCAAATCACTACAGTTTATTTTCATGGTTTCTATGAACAAGTGGGGCATTATCAAGCAAAATCAATAACGTAAAAAGCACTGGAAGGGAAAATCCTACCCACTAAAGACAAATTATTTTCCACCACGTTAGCAGTATCGTGCACACAAACAGGGTAACTGCAGCACAAACAGAGGCGGGGCCTGGAGGCTGCATGCAGGTGGATGGGCTGAGATAGTCATTACGAATCAATGCGGCAGCTGTCAGGGTCCATGCATCTCTGGTGGAAACGATTTTGCTGCTGGTAACTAGTTAGAGTCGTGTGTGCTAACACAAGGAGGTGGTGCAAAATGAGGAATTACCAGCCAGGCAACATGGAACGGTTGTTTCAAAGCTATGAGATTTATCCTTGAAACGAACAACTTAAGAAAACAATTACAGTCTCTTTGCCATTTGCTGTTCATCATGCTGTGGCAATAAAATGTTATTTGCTTTCCCCCCCAGAATCTCAGATACAGGAAACAGAATGACATTATAGAAAGGGAAGAACAAATGACAGGAAAATGACTTGCTTAGAGGCTAAGAGGAAAGCCAGGTGGAACCGAATTCAGCTACAGGAGACTGGGTTCTCGGTGGACACTGACACAAAGGCCATTCTGAGGAGGTCATAGATCTTTGTCCTTTTTTAATCCTCAGACAAAAGGGGACAGTGATGTCTACCCTTCTGACTTCTTGGACCTGTTGACAGGGTCACCTAGGATGAGGCACATGAAGGGTTTGAAGGAAATATAAAGGACGATGATGACGATGATGAGACTAATAATCACAGCATGTTAACCCTTATTGAGAATTTATAGATTGCTATAAAGTCACTGTTATTAAAAAAGTCACTGTTCTATTTCATATGCGTGATCTCCTGTAATCCTCATCACACCATCACCCATACTTTCAGATAAAGAAAGAGAAGCACAGAGAAGTTAAGCAACTTGACTAAAGTCACACAGCTAGTCAACAGTAGAACTAGAATTGAATCTGATTCTAGGGCTCATGCTCCTAACTGTCGATATACTATAATATAAGGCAATGAGATTAATATTCATGGTGATACAAAATGAATGCTTTTATCAGAAAATCCCACAGAAAACACAAAACTATACACTACTATGTGCAATGAAGCTTTCATTTTAGCCCGTCTCTTCTTCTCCTCTTGCAATCATCCAAACAGTAAACATTTTTGAGCATCTCAACTATATCAGACATGATTCGGGGCTTGGGGAATTGCAGCCTCTGAGGCCCCTGCTCTCCTACAGTTTATGTGCTAATGAGGAAAGTCAGTGAAAAAACAACAGAAAGAGCAAACAGTGATAAGTGCAAGGATCAAAGTAAAACAGGAAGTTGTGGTGGCAAGTGACAGGTGGGGACTATACTGGTCCTTCCCTCTGCAATCACTTATTTATTTGTCTATCTATCTATCTATCTATCTATCTATCTATCTATCTATCTATCTTTCTATCTATTTATTTATTTCCTTTTTTGAGACAGAGTCTTGCTCTGTTGCCCAGGCCAGAGTACAGTGCACAATCTTGATTCACTGCAACCTCCACCTCCTGGGTTCAAGTGATTCTCCTGCCTCAGCCTCCCAAGTATCTGGGGCTACAGGTACATGCCACCACACCTGACAAATTTTTGTATTTTTAGTAGAGACAAGGTTTCACCATGTTGGCCAGGCTGGTCTCAAACTCCTGTCCTCACGTAATCCACCACCTTGGCCTCCTAAAGTGCTGGGATTACAGGCGTGACTCACCGCACCTGGCCTGCAGCCACTAACAGAGTGCAGGTCCTGTGTCAGCTCCATGTGTGCTGATGGAGAAAGAAGCAAGTGTGACAGAGGCACATTGCCTGCTCTTGGGGAACTGTTGGTGAGGCCTTGTGGCACCAACAGTCAGGAGTTCCTTGAGAGCAGTCTCAGGGACCCTCCAGTCTCAGGGACCTTCTCTTCCTTTCCCTATCAAATGAGGCTTTTGCTCCAACAGTTTGTGACTTCTTTTTATAAGTCAGGAAGCCACTTAGGCAATTCTTACCTTATCCCAGTTATTAGATGTAATGGAAATAATAAATGCTACAGTAGATGTATTCTCTACTTCAGAATATTCCTGAGGGAGAAGAGGAATTGTTTAACTGGATCTGAACAAGTTTTGGCTGTAACAATAATATTTATTTAAGCACTTGGGTGCTTATTATATAATATTATACCTTTAGTTAAGTTTATTTTCCATCTCTCCTGGGGGGTGAATATGGGGAAAGGAGCTTATGATGAAGCATGGAGATTTAAAGTCAGAACAAGGGAAGGGCTGGGTATGGTGGCTCATGCCTGTAATCCCAGCACTTTGGGAGGCCAAGGTGGGTGGATCACCTGAGGTCAAGAGTTTGAGACCAGCCTGGCCAACATGGTGAAATCCCATGTCTAAAAAAAAAAAAAAAAAAAAAAGAAAGTAGCCAGGCATGATGGTGTACACCTGTGGTCCCAGCTACTCAGGAGACTGACGCAGGAGAATCACTGGAACCCAAGAGGTGGAGGTTGCAGTGAGCTGAGATCGCGCCATTGCACTCCAGCCTGGGAGATAGAGGGAGGCTCTGTCTCAAAACAACAACAACAACAAACACAAGGGAGGTTTGGGGGATCATACACGCAGCAAGACATTGAAGAAATGCAACAAAAGTATGGATTCTTTTCCCCTGGAGAGCTTAATCCATCAAAAAAGTGGTATTCTGGTATGGCCGTACACAGAAGTTGATGGATAAAGCTGGCTTACCATAGGGCTTGCTTGACCCCGGGAGGCTCTGATAATGACAGAACGTAGTTTGGAATCGTGCAACTTCACATCCTGCCTCCACTATGCCTTGCCACCAGGGCAGGGCAAGAGCTAGGCCACTTTTCGCTTGCATTCCAGGCTAGTAATTTGTGCTAAGAGAAAATACTTCAAAAGTACCACGGGGAAGGCCCATGACAGGAATGATGGAGGTCAGATGCACCAGAGGAATAAGAACCAACCCACAAAACAGTAGAGTCTGAAACATATGCCAGAACCCAGAAATACAACCTGCCTTGCTGTAGTAGAACACACGAGGCGTGTAGAAGACCTACAAAAACACAGTAAATGGACTGCGTCGGCAGATTCCAGGAGCACTTTGACTATCAGGATGGACCGTTAAAGTAGAATATTATGTGATTTAATAATCTGGCCCACAAGATAACACCTGCCTGAAACAATCAGAAGACCTGACATAGACACTGTTGATGATTGTAACAAGATTGGAAGCGACAGTCTGTTATTTCACTTAAAGTGCTAACAGAGGGAGTACGGGCCTCAGAATGAGAGAGAGAGAGAAGAGGGAGACAAGGGAGGAGGAAGAAGAGGAGGGAGGAGGACGAAGAGAAGGTGCACTCATGCAAATTCAATTGAAAATTGCAAAGGCCGGGCGCGGTGGCTCATGCCTGTAATCCCAGCACTTTGGGAGGCTGAGGTGGGAAGATTGCTTGAGCCCAGGAGTTTGAGATCAGCCTGGGCAACATAGTGGGATCCTGTCTGCACAAAAATACAAAAATTGACCAGGTGAGGTGATGCACACCTGTGGTCTCAGCTACTCAGGAGGCTGAGGTGAGAGGATCCCTTGAACCTGGGAGGTCAAGGCTGCAGTGAGCGTGATCGCACCACTGCACTCCAGCCTGGGCAATAGAGCAAGACCCTGTCTCAAAAAAAAAAAAAAATATATATATATATATATGTAAAATAAAATATCACAAAGCTCTTAGAAAAGAGGAGTGAAGGATACTTGATATGCCATATAGATTACTGCATACATTCATATTTAAAGGCAATAATTCGATAAGCAAAGGACACGTGGTATTCACCAGCAAATATCTGTGGACATATTCACAGAGCATTGGAAGCCTGTAATATTATCATTTACAATATCTTAAATGCATAGTTACACATCACAAATTTATCTCCTTTAATTTATTCTGTTGTGGGATATGGACCACCAAAAAAAAAAACAAAAGACACATGTTAAGGAAATCCTAGATGAGTATGGATTTTTCACATTTGTCTTGGGAATCCCTAGTGCCTGAAAGGGCCTAAACAGCTGACTGCAGCCGGGTCGTGTGTATTTGCACACGACAGACTCACGACCAGGGTCTGCATCATTCCTGGGGCCACATGATTTTGCTTAGCCTCCTATGGCTTGATTCCAATGCTCAGAAAAGGGAGTTTTGTTTCCCTCGTCTCATATAATGCTGACAGCTTCAGCACTGTCTGTTATGTTCTCTTTTCTCTCCAGAACTGTCTGGAGTTTTAACGGTTCCAATTCTGATATATGGTGATGCAGGAAACGAAATGGAACCAAGAAATATGCATGCAGATTCTACGCATGACTCTATGGCCTGTGGATGGCAGACCAAACCTCCTTACCTTTATCATAGATTTCCTTCAGGACTCCTCGCTTTATCAGCTCTTCTCTGCTTTGCCTCATAGATATTTTCCTTTCCAGGGCTACAAATAAAAGACAAACGAGGAAGCAGATGTGAGTAGGAAACCAAGCTGTCTTCTAAAGAATCCTATGTTAACACATATGGCAATGTAATGTACGAGAAAGCTTCTGTAAATTGTGCTTTGCTAATGTGAGCTAATGAGACATACCGATTAATATGTTTTGATACTATCATAATAAGCCTTTTAATCAGATTATGTCATTTAAGTTACCAAATAATCTTCAAATTATCACGAATGAGAGGGTAGGTATTCTTTTTTTTTTTTTTTTTTTGAGACAGAGTCTCACTCTTGCCCAGGCTGGAGTACAGTGGCGTGATCTCAGCTCACTGCTACTCCTGCCTCCCAGGTTCAAGTGATTCTCCTGCCTTAGCCTTCTGAGTAGCTGGGACTACAGGCACAGGCCACCGTGCCCAGCTAATTTTTGTATTTTTAAAGAGAGGGGGTTTCATGGTTTTAGCCAGGATGGTCTCGATTTCCTGACCTCATAATCCACTGGTCTTGGCCTCCCAAAGTGCTGGGATTACAGGCGTAAGCCATCGTGCCCAGCCAAGGTAGGCATTCTTATTTAATTGAACCCCAATTTGTGGTTGAACCTGTAGCACAGAAAAGCTCAACGACTTGTCAGAGTCACATTGCTACTGAGTAAAGGAATCAGGATTCAATGCCAAAAACACCACCTTGGATGTCAGCCGAACCTCACGTCTTACTGAACTTTCCTGAACATGGCACTTCCTCCCAGGAGGGACTGCTGTTTCAATGATCCAGTTCATAGAGATCAGGCCTCACTGAGGATTCCGTTGCTTTCCAACTATTTTAAAAAATGGTGTGAAAATACCTTCTGAGAAGCTCTCTGGTGTGGCCTCCCATTGTCCGGAGGCGATACTGTCTAAAGGTAGGGGTGGCTTCCATGGCACGGCCCCTCCACTGCCTTTTTCTCTTAGGCTCCAAGCTGGAGCAGCCAAGTAGAGAAGGAACTATTCAGTTACCCAATGCACCTCCGCCATGGCCCCGCCATGCACCTAGGTCGAGAGCTTGGGAAGGTGGCAGTGGGGCTGGAGGAGGGAAGAGGGAACAGTGGGTGCGCTGGGGGGTACATCAAGTAGAAACAGCCCAGGAGTGGGAAAGTGAGGCGCTGCCCAAGAGGCAGGCCTGTGCCTCGAAGGAGGGACACCGGCAAACATGGGGAGGAAAGAAGGCTATTCCAGCAGATGGCGGAGTCTCTGGTACACACTGACTCAACCTCCACAGCCTTCGAAAACATATTCAGGGGAAAATCACCAGCTATAAAATAAGGAAACTACTTTATGCAGACAAATTCAGACACAGATTAATTAAACACACACTGCCCTCAACGGAATTTAGTACAAAGAATATGAAGAAGAATTAGGAAGAAGGCAAGCAAATGAGGATTATGGTTCTAACTCTGTCACCCTCTAAGCTATGGGACATGAGTCAAGTGACCTTAGTCAAGTCACTTTGCCACACTGGGAAAACACTGATGCCTCAGCCCAACCATTCCAATTTCATAGGCCCAGGGTAGGACCAGGACATCTCCATTGTGATAAAAAAGCTCTCTGGGTTATTTTGAGGCATGACTCGGCTGAGAATCACTAATTATATATTTTGGAACTTACTATTTTAAAAATGTTACATTCTAGTTCCCTCTCTTAAATTATAATGAATTAACTGGTATGAGGGAGAAAAATAAATGTTAGGTTAGGATGCACTCACATAGAGCTGATGGAGAACATATTAATCCTAAAATAGAGACATAAATCTGTACCTACGGAAGTGGTGGCAGGAAGGCTGTATGGGAGGACAAGGGGGAAAGCTGGGTGCAGGAAACATGGAAACAGTGTTTGGGGGTTGAAGAGTTTTATTTGTCACACCAGATGACATGACATGGTGGCAGGAAGGCAGAAAGATGTTCTCTTCGCAGAAGAGAGTTTGGGGAAGGGCTGGAGAAGGGATACGGAATTGCATGCAGTTAGGTTAGAAAGTTCTGCCTGATGTGAAAAGATCTGCTAAGCAGAGTCAGGCATGGTGGTTCACACCTGTAATCTCAGCACTTTGGGAGGCCGAGGTGGGTGGATCATTTGAGGTCAGGAGTTTTAGAGCAGCCTGGTCAACATGGTGAAACCTTGTCTCTACTAAAAATACAAAAATTAGTCAGGCGTGGTGGCGCATGCCTGTAGTCCCAGCTACTTGGGAGGCTGAAACAGGAGAATTGCTTGAACCCGTGAGGCAGAGGTTGCGGTGAGCGAGATTGCACCACTGCACTCCAGCCTGGGCAGCACAGGGAGACTCTATCTCAAAACAACAACAACAACAACAACAACAAACAAAAAAAAAAAAAAAAAAAAGGGAAAAAGAAAAGATCTGCTAAGCAGCACAGTAGGAAAAGACCGGACAGGCAAGGTAAAGCAGGGGGGCTTTAAGTATGGGGTTTGTTACAGATGTTTGGGTGACATAAAGCCATCCGAATGTAAAGAGATGCTTTCCCCTTCTGTACTTAACCACATAAATAAAACAGATTTCTCTTAGATAAAATGAGGTTTCCCAGGTGTTCTAAACCACAGACTAAAGCAGAGAGACCTGGTCTACAGCATTAAAGGAAGATCTGCGATGAAGTGAGCAGAACCCTGGAGTTGGAGGTCCAAGATCCTGAGCTATTAGGAGAAATGTGGATGTTCTCAGGCTAAGCACTCAGCCATCTGGACATCAGCTGTCACTGACAACTGTGGATCCGCTGTCCGCAGTCAAAGGCACTGGTTGGGGCTGGAGATAACAGTAACCAAAGAGCCAGCCGTTGCTGTGATAGAGTTTACAGACTCGTGTGACATTCAGACCATTGTCAAATGATGATATTACTTAATGTGTGATCACAAATTGAGATAAGTCCTCCTGAAGAAAAGGGACAAGTTCCTATCAGAGCATATGGTAAATATTGTCCCTGATTGGGGTGTTGGAAAAGGCTTTTCTGAAGAAGAGATCTTTGAGCTGAGGGGGGCTGGGTAGGGGCCGAGGGAAATGCTCCAGATAGAGCAGCCTGCTCTAGATGGAGAAATCATGGTGCCAGGAAGGAACAGAAAGAAAGCTGGTGTGGCTGCAGCTGCCAGCATCAGATGAAGAATGTTTGAGATGGGGTAGGAGGCTGGGCCATGAAAGGCCTCATGGACCATGTTATTCTAAGAGCAACGGGAAGAAGTGATCAGCTTTGAGGATATGAAAGATGAACATTCACTTTAGTACAGAGAATGGATTGGAAAGAGGCCAATGACTAGGTGATTATAGGCATCTAGGCAGGGGATGATGGTAGCTGAGACGAGGATGCTGTTGACAGTGACAAAAGATGCACCCAAGACATGTGAAGGTGGCAATGTAGACACGATTAGATGTGAACGCTTGGACACGGATATGCAGGAAAGAGAAAGGCCGAGGAGGATGCCTTGGTTCCTGATCTGCATAACTCAATGGACGGTGCTGTCCATGACTAAGGCAGGGAGTACAGGGTGAGAATCGGGGTTGGAGGATGCATGACAAGTTCAGTGCTAGCCACATCCAAGAGACATGATCAAGCATGTGCCAGGGAAATGCAGTTGGATACTTTATAAAACAGACATGGGAGGTTAAATGAGAATGTGCTACATGGCACAGACTATGCCAGATGCTTTCACGCACCAGTGCTTCTCAATCTCTTCCATGGAAACATTCCTTATGACAAAGGGAGAATACTAGGGGCTCCAAGGGTATGACTCAAAGTTGCCCAGGCCAAGCATTAAAGAAAGTATGTTTCTTTAATGTACTAAGTTTCCTTTGAAAGTAAATGTAGAAATCACATAATATATCTGTTTTAATTTAAATAAGAAAATACTCCCGCTCCATCACCAGCAATTTCCAAGTTAAAGTGACATGCTGGAGATGGCTTTTTTCTTCTATGGCTTTGTCCATTCCTGGTAAAGAATCCTAAGCCCACAGTGAATGCACAGATCATCTTGAGAAGCGTGAAAAATTATGTTACTTAACTTAATCTTCACCACAATACTGTAAAGCATAATCATTCTCATTTTACAATGAGGTACCTAAGGCCCAGCAAAATGAACTTGCTCAGAGTCCCACAGCAGTAAGTGGAAGGGCAGAAAGAGATTTTAATGCTCTTCCCTTTTTCTCCATGATGCAACGTTGTTGTGAGAATGATCATAATGTATAGGAAAACTGCAAGGATCTAAAAACAGAAGGCAATCTGATTGTTAGTTTACTTGGGGTTGAAAGTCACGGTAAAGTGACATAATTCCACTTTACTCTCAGGAGCTTCTTCCTTGTAAGGAACTCTTCAGTTTTTTTGTTTGTTTTTGTTTTCGTTTTTTGAGAAGGAGTCCTGCTCTGTTGCCCAGGCTAGAGTGCAATGGCGTGGTCTCGGCTCACTCCAACCTCTGCCTCCTGGGTTCAAGCGATTCTCCTGCCTCAGCCTCTTCAGTAGCTGGGATTACAGGTGCCCGCTGGCTAATTTTTGTATTTTTAGTAGAGACGGGGTTTCACCATGTTGGCCAGGCTGGTCTTGAACTCCTGACCTCGTGATCCGCTCGCCGTGGCCTCCCAAAGTGCTGGGATTACAGGTGTGAACCACTGCGCCCAGTCAGGAATTCTTTTCTTCTTATCATCTCTCTTAACAAGGTATGCATGATGCCTCTCTTCTGATCTCACCTTCAGCAGCTCTTCCAAAGTCAGAGCTAAGTTTAAGTGGGTTCAAAGTGTTCTGCAGCAGGCAGGTGTATGCACATCTACCCACTACGTCTGAGGAAGCCAAGAGGACAAAGAAAGGCTAACAAATTCATCTTCTGAATTTGTAGTAGGGACTCACAAACAGAAGCCATGGCTGGGTCTTGGGCAGCAGTGAGATGAGATAGTGGACCCCCTAGCCATTATTCTCCCAGACCCAGGGTTTCTATACCAAATAGAAAGGGTCTGCATGATTGAAAATAAAGTGTAGGACAACCGAA